CCTCCAGGCCAGTGGGGGGCGTTTTGGAGGGTGGGGGCGGTGGGCTTAACCGGTCGTGTAGATCCACGCAGGGGCAGAGAGGGAGATGGACGAGCAAGAGGGAGAGAGAGAGGAGGGAGAGAGGGAGAGAGGAGAAGAGAGGAAGAAGGGTAGAGAGAAGAGGAGTAGAGAAGAGAGAGAGAGAGAGAGAAGAGAGATGAGGGATGGGAGGGAGGGCAGGGAGCGAGTGGTGAGAGGACCCCGAGGAGAAGAGAGAGAGAGATGAGAGGAGAGACCTTAGCGCCGACCGCAGAGACGGAGCATGACGGACGCTAGATGTAGGAGTAAGGAAGTAGAACGCTTGGCTGATCATCGAGAGAATAATGTAGGAGATGAAGACTAGAGATGAGAGAGAAAGAGAGAGGGATGGGAGGGCAGGGTGGAGGGGGAATCGAGATAGAGAGAGAGGGGAGGCAGCCTTGCGCGAGGGCGAGGATGAGACGAGGAGAGACGAGAGAGAGAGACTCGAATTGACGAGAGGAGAGCCAGGAATGGAGTTACCGGATTGTAGGTGAGGTCACGATGTAATGCAGGAGAGAGCAGACGAGTAAGATGACGAGAGATGTAGAGAGATCGAGAGGATCGGGGTAGGGACTGGGAGAGGAGAGAGAGAGAGAGAGACGAAGAGGAGATGGGAAGGAGAGGAGTGAGGGAGGAAGAGAGGAGAGAGATGAGACGTAGCAGAGGAGGCGGAGGCAAGGGGATGGGAGGGATAGAGAGAGAGAGACCGAGATAGCCAAGATCGAGAGAGAGAGAGAGGGAGGGAGGGAGGGAGGGAGGGAGAGAGAGAGAGAAGAGAGAGAGAGAGGGAGGAGAGGGAGGGAGGGATGCGGAGAGAGAGAGAGAGACGTATCGGCAGAGGAGACCAGTAATGAACAAAGAAGAGGAAGACGATAAGCGACAGTAGTATGTATTGCCTGTTTGATAATTAATTATTTTTGAGCATCTACATCCTCGTGTTCTAAACTTGTCGAATGACTTTTCTCTTAAATTATGTGTCCGCTCGTATACTCTGCTCTTTGACCTCACCCAAATGAAAATAATAAAATAACATGAACCATAAAAACATATCCAAAAGATGACATAAAACCTGAAAAAACCCCACTCGCAAACCCGCCCCCCCTTTCTCACAATTGATATAAAAACCTTTGAAAAAACCCCACTCGCATACCCGCCCCTTCGCACAAATTAATTTATACCTCTGCCTGCACTTTAGTTCAGGTAATCCCTGCCTCGGTTAACTTTCCAATGCCTTGAGGAGAAGAACAAGATTCGACCTCGCTGACCCGCTTCGTCATCCCCAGTCGACCATCACATGGACGGCACCGCCCTGTTGAGGCCGTCGCCGCCATCTTTTCATCGCCCAAGTGAGGGGGCATGTCGCTCCCATCGGGCCAGATCGTCGCATCAGGTGAGGAGGGGTTGCAAGATTTAAGATGTTTAAGATTTAGTTTTTGATTTCATTCGTTACTATGGAATATTCTTCGCTGTGATGATATAGTGTTAAAAATTTGGCCAAATCTCCCCCTGTGTCGAGGGAGTGGCCGGGATTGACTCGTGAGCCGGGTATATATCGAACGCAGGTCCGCAAGATTGCTAGACCAGCACACTTACCGCTGGGTCTAGCAATTGCTCTAACCAAGAGGGTAAGGGGTGGGAGGGAAGTGGGAAGATGGGGGAAAAGGTGGAGGGAACGATAGACAAAAGGGAGGGGAAACGAAGTGTTGGAAGGATAGGGAAAGGAAGGGCGGGGTTCTGCTTTGTTTTTCTTTAAGGCTCTGTTTGAGAGGTTGTTGTGGGGGGGGGGGTAGAAAGAGGGGTTTCTGTTCCTGGCTCCTTTAAGGTTCTGTTTTGGAAGGGTTCTGCTGGGGGGGGTGTGCTAGAAGGGGTTCTGCTCCTGGTTTTTTTAAAGTTCTGTTTTTGGAAGGGTTCTCTGCTGGGGGGAGGAGTAGAAGGGGTTCTGCTCCTGGCTTTTTTAAGGCTCTCTTTTTGAAGGGTTCTGTTGGGAGGGGGGGTAGAAAGGGGATATTAATGGGGTTGAAGAGAAGATTTGGCTGGAACGAAGGGACGCCATTGCTGCAGCTGAAAGGGCACCACTGGGCTAGCTGAAGGGTTGCCATTAGGGCAGCTGAAGGGGCACCATTAATGTAGCTGAAGCGGCTCCATTAGGATGGTTAAAAGGGCGCCATTAGGAGAGCCGAAGGGATTCCATTAAGCTAGCTGAAGGGGCACCATTAAGAGAGCCGAAGGACCATTAATGTAGCTTAAACGGCTCCATTAGGATGATTGGAAGGCCGCCATTAGGACAGCTGAAGGGGCACCATGAAGCTAGCTGAAAGGCCACCATTAAGAGAGCCGAAGGAGCACCATCAATGTAGCTGAAGCGGCTCCATTAAGCTAGATGAAAGGGCGCCATTAGGACAGCTGAAGGGGCACCATTAGGACAGCTGAAGGGGCACCATTGGAGGGCTTAAGAGGAAGGCCGAAGGGGCGCCATTAAGAGAGCCGAAGGAGGACTATTGGAGGGCCGAAGGGGCGCCATCAGGAGGGCCGAAAGGACACAGGAATCCGAGAGAGGCATTTGGAAGATAAGAGAAAAAAATCATGATAATAGCAGTCGTGATAAATAATCATAACGAAATAATGATAGTGAAAAGATAATAATAGTAGTAGTAATAGTAACAATGATGATGATATTGATAATAATGATAATAATAATAATGATGATATTAATAATAATGATGATAATAATAATGTTGATATTAACTGATAATAATGATGATAATAAAAATAATAGTAATAATAAAAATATGATAATAATATAATAATATAATAATAATAATAATATTAATAATAATAATAATAATAACAATGATTATAATAATAACAATAATAACAATAACAACCCACCCCCCTTGCCAACCCGCTACCTCCCCCGCAGCATCACCGCCACCGCCGCCGCCATCGGGGCCGCCGGCATCCCGCAGGCGGGTCTGGTCACCATGGTGATGGTGCTCGACGTGGTGGGGCTCCCGGCCGAGGACATCACACTCATCATCGCCGTCGACTGGCTCTTGTGAGTGGAGGGGTGGGGTTTTATTGTGTTTGGGGGGGGTGGGGGATGGGGGGTACGTGTGTGTGTTGGGGGGGTGTATGTGGAGGATGTATGTGTGGGTGTGGGTGGGAGGATGTGTGTGGTGTGTGGGTGTGGTGGGTGGGTAGGAGGGTATGTTGTATGTGTGTATGTGGGTGGAGTGTGTGTGGTGGGGGGGGAGGTGGGTGCGTGTGTGAGGGGGGGTGTATGTGGGTGGGAGGATGTGTGTGTATGTGTGTGTGTGTATGTGGGTGTGTGTATGTGTGTATGTGGGTGGAGATGTGTGTGTGTGTGGTGGTGAGACATGTGTGTGTCTGTGTGTGTGTGTGTGTGGTGGGTGGGTGTGTGTGTGCGTGATGGTTTGTTGAGACGGCTGTGTCGGTCCTTTTCATGCATCGAAAGAAATTCCAATTCTATTCAAGTTAACTGCCTTATGCTTATTCCATCGGCCATCAACTATCCTTTCCCATTGGTTGATTCATTCCTACCTATCATATGTCTATTTTCATCCTAACCTATTTATATTATTCTCAATCCACAGTTCTCCAATTTCATTTTTTTAGAGAGTGATTCTTTACCTTAACGATCGTGTTAACTTTCAAATTAAAGGCCTTATTCATGTTCCATTAGTAATTACCAATTCATTTCACTAATCATTCCTACCTGTGTTTTTATTTTATTTTTCATATATATATATATATATTTTTTTTCACACCATTTTCATTTTTTTTTTTTAATATTCCAATTCGCACCCTCCATTTTCCTTTAAATACATAGAAAAAAATCCAATCCCACACCTCCATTTTCATTGTCTTTTATCTATTCTAATCCACTCCCTCCATTTCCCTTTATTCTATTCATTCTAGTCCACCCCCTCCATTTTCCTTTATTCTATTCATTCTAATCCACCCCCTCAATTTTCCTTTCATTTTTTCACCCCCCCCCCTCCGCTCCTCCCCCAGGGACCGCTTCCGCACCCTGATGAACGTGCTCGGCGACAGCATCGGCGCCGGCCTGGTCTACGAGCTGAGCAAGAAGGAGCTGGAGAAGATGGGCAACGTGAACGCCAACGGGGACCTGGAGCGTCCGTCCAGCGAGATCGGGATGGACGCCGTCGAGTCCAGCAAGATGTGAGAGGGCGGGAGAGGGACGGTCCCGCCGACGCCCTGAGCTCGAGCTGCCGAGGGACGAGCGCGGCCAGCTCCTTCGACCGGTTCCTCTCTCGCTTCCACGCTACAGGCTCCTCCCGCAGGCTGTAGCACACCCTCCCGGGGAACCTGCGCAGGGCTGGAAAGGGTTAGAAGCCTCCCGAGACGAAACACTTGACGCAGGGTGGCGTTCCGAGGCGCTCGCTGGGCGCCTCACTCTCCCCCCTCCCTTAAAAGAAGGATAAATACACAAACGTTTACGTAAACAGGGAAAAGTAACTCTTGGTCAGGGTTTAACCTCTGGAAAAAAACATCAGGTATGTGTTGTTTTTTCGGTGATCCATATTTCCTTAAGGTGGGCAGTCGAGGGCGCTAGAACCTTAGTCCTTCTACACGCTGAGGCGGTTGAGGTCCATCGCGCGTCGCAGTGGAATGCCGATTCCAGCGTCTAAGACTTCCACGCTGTCTAATTATAAGAGCGAAAATATGTATTAAAAAAATGATGTCTTGTAGAATTACTGTGGTCTGTGAAGATAAAACTTCCTTTCCTTCGATGGTATTATCCTTCTCTTTGGTTTATGTTTTCAAAATAATGTTGCCAGACTTTCTCTTCCTCTGGTGACTGTGATTTCCTGAAGGGTTATTGTAAAGCACTTTCTACACCACACTCACTGTCATGTTTTGTATCAGATCTTGACTTCAACAACTTGGCTACCATTTTTGTATGTATAATTTCCTTTCCTTTTATAATTATCAAACTATGTATAAAAAAAACATTTATGCCTTTATCTATTCTTGCACTGTAATATTATGATTTATTTTGTATTTTGTTGACTGGCGAGTGAAACCATATCATTACTGTAGAAGAGGCTGAGGGGCCACACCAAAGTGCATAAAATAAGTGCATTTATTGTATATCAGAAGAAAATTAGGTAGATATAGCGTTTTGAATTGTATAGAGAGCAGTTTTGTAATTGTTGTGTTATTGGAAAGTCTACAGATATATATTTGTTGTAAAGTAGTTTGGAATTTCTCAGTGGCTGTCTGTGTTGATGTTTACTGTTGGGGTCGAAGGCCTGTCGGTCAGAGTCAGAGTCTGATGAAAAGGTTCAGCAAAACGGACGCAGAAGGAGGTTCCGCTGATGGGTATATGTACATGTGTATACATATATACATACATACATATGCATATATATATATATATATATATATATATATATATATATATATATATATATATATATATATATATTATATATATATATATATATATATATATATATAAATATATATGTGTGTATATACATGTATGTATGTATATGTATGTATATATATATGTATGTATATATGTATATATATATATATATATATATATATATATATATATATATATATATATATATATATATATGTATATAGATATATATAATATATATACATATATATGCACATATATCGATATGTACACACACACGTATATGTTTATTATATATATATATATATATATATATATATATATATATATATATATATATATATATATATATATATATATATATATAGATATATATATATATATATATATATATATATATATATATATATGTATATATATATATATATATATATATATATATATATATATATATATATATATATATATATATATATATATATATGTATATATATATTTGTGTGTGTGTGTGTATATATCTATACGTATATATATATATATATATATATATATATATATATATATATATATATATATATATATATATATATATATATACATACACACACACACACACATATGTACATTAATGTCTTGGAGGACGAGAACCAAACTCCTCAGGTCACTTTTGCTAAAAGACGAACCAGAGGATCCCGCGCGAGGAACGGTTCCAGATCATGTACATTTTAGAAAACACAGTATTGTACATTTTTCATGAGATTTCTTCGAGGAGTTGAAGCATCACCTACGCTGTATATATCCGGTGAAATGTACAGAGAGAAATGCGGTCCCTGAGTGTCTCCGTGAGATGAGTTCCTTCTGTGGGAAAAAAAAATTAATAAATTGGGGTCATTGGAAGGTTCATTTGTGTCACGACGCACACGCGACTTGTTCCAAAATATTGTTCATACTCCTATAAATTAGTCATTTTTTTAAGACAGAATATTGTTCATACTCCTCTAAATTACTTAGAGTATTTTTTTAGACAATAACATACATTTGTCAGACATTTTTTTCACTTTTTTTGTACCTTTCACTTTTTCTGTTCTGTTGAGCATTGTTTTAAGTATATATCTGATTACCTTTTGGTGTAGTCACTACATGGGCGGTTATGAAATTGTTCAGGGATATATAAAAGACGTTTAGTTCAAGAAATAAAAGGCAGAACGGACGTCTCGCTAACCATTTGTGTGTTAGTACATGTGAATATTTTTTTTGAAATACTACCATAGAGGGAGTCACATCATGCACACAGTTAGGGACTGCATATGTCTGTTTTCCTTTCCTTTTTCTTTTCTTTCTGACCTTTTTTCCAGCAAAGAAACAAGTGAACACAAGGATGAATCCTATTTAACTTTTAATATTAAAGAAGGGTAGTTGTAGCAACCGCGTGAATGGTACCTTGCGTTCCCTGAACTGTTGCGAGCCAGACTGGGTTGTGTCCCCCGCCCCCAGCGCCGCCACCCGCAGGAGGCGAGCGAGTCTTCGAGAAAGGGCGTCTACGCGAATCTCCAGAGCGATATTTGGTCGTAAAATAAGCCTATTCCGTAATAAAAGTTTCCTTTCTGTGTATCCGGTTGCTGGAAGTGTTGTAACTACAATATATTGCTTATTGATGCTGTTAGTGTCATCGTTATTGGAAGAAAGTCAGCCAAGAGACGTGTGACATTTTTTATCTATTTATTTTTATTTTCATTATCTTGGCCAGCGCGGGAACAAAATTTCATGGTTTTACGAAGAAAAAAAGTTATTCTCGGCGATTGATATTTTGTTTGCTCGGGATCACAATTCAAGGAAGGTTTGCTGTTTTTTTTTCTCCTTTATTTTTGTGTGAAAGTTTTTAATTGTAAGGATACGGTTTTTTTTTCTTGGAATCTTACTCTTCTTAATAATTGTACTTGAATCTTGTAGCTACATTTTTTATATATAGAATATAGATAGGTGAAGTAAATTTTAAGGACTATTCGTGCTTAGCATCAAATAACCACAGTTTTATGTGAAGTATCTATAATGAAATTAAAACTTGATTTCCCTTCTTGAAGATATTTGTAATCTGCACACGACATAAATAACATATTTCCGTCCCACATACAAGCAAAATAATGATAATTATAATTACAAGTCAATTCACAAACCCAAAAAATAAATACGTGCTTCCCACATTTTTTTTCTTCATTCAAAAAAAAAAAAAAGTTCTGTATATGGGACCTAAATTATGTTATTGAATAATACGAATGCAGTTGAATAAGTTTTTTTTTTTTTTGAACGAACGACAACCTGTATTATACATAAATGCCGTACAAACTCGCGGACCAAAAAAACAAACAAAGAAAAAATCACAACAAAATTGTGGATTTTATTTATGTAATCAAAGTCAAATGGTCAGTAAGGAGCAGATCACGTGATGTGCGAATCTAAGGTTAACTCTATTCTTCTCCTAAAGCAAACTGTATGTTAAGGTCGAACTGCAGTATGAGTAATAAAAGTTTATAATACAAATGGAAGTTGTCTTATTGCATTTATACACCTGTTGTTCTCCTGGTATTGGCATTGGTATTAGTTCAATTGAGAAGTTAAGGATTTTTTCATATTTATCTATATATATCTATCAATTTATCCATTATTATGATTATTATCATTATTATTATTATCAATCTTTGAGTCAAAGGGTACACTTGAGAGCTTCAGGTTATCCACTGAAGTGATTAAGACTCCATTAATCAGCAGACTTGGATGCTGAGGCAACTGCGATCGAGACCGACTCACAATCACTTCTTTAGACTTTGTAGGAGCACCACGATTGAATCATCATCAGGTCTACAATGAGACTGTCAGCTACTATTTGCCTGGTTACCGGAGAAGGAACATCAACATAGATCATCAGCATATGCTAACATTTTATCAGTAATGCCAGACCACATATCGTTTGTATATAAAACAAAGAGCAAAGGGCCAAATACACTTCCCTGGGGAACCCCAGAAGACACACGGGAATACGAGCTGAAACTACCATCAACATGAACACGCTGCTGCCTGCCAGTTAAAAATTCTGATAAAATACCTAAAACTTTACCACCAACAGATTGTGACAAAAATTAAGCCCTTGTGGACACAAAAGCTGCACTAAAATCCAGCGAGACAAGGCTTGACTCATGACCCTTATCTAAAGCAGACTGCATTTCATGCACCAACATAAGCAGTGCATCATTGCAGCCGAGTCCCTTTCTAAAACCAAACTGAGTCTCTGGATGAAACGGTCTCAAATGAACAGAAAGACGTTGGCCAGCAAACGTTCAAAAACCTCGGATAAGATTGGTGTAATTGAAATAGGCCTATACTCAGTAAGTAACATTACCAAAGCGCCAGCACTCTGAAAATTACCCTTTACGAACTAAAAGGCGTAAGATTACGGCTAATTTGGGAGCTAATTAACCATTTAGTGTTTTTAAAATCAAAGGAAACAAACCATTAGAGTCTACTCCACCATATTCATCTAATTCTGATAACATATTGATTTCAGAGAACCTGAAAGCAAATAAATTAAAGCATGGCAATGGGTGACATGAAAGAGGAAGTTCAATATCTTTTAAACTTTGTTTTGAAATAAAACAGTCTGCTAACAAGGTAGATTTCTGAAACGGACTATACATAACACTACCATCAGGTTTCATTAAAGGAGGAATGGAAAACTCAAGACCAAACATGATTTTAGTGTTGACCACCATTTATGCGGCTGTGAGGCTTGTGAGAAAACTTCTTTTAAATGAGCATTATATTCAGATTTAGCCTCCTTATAAACATTAGTTGCTGTGTTTCGCATGACAACATAATTCTCCCAACAAAGACGAGTACGGTTAGCAGACCAGAGATGGTAGGCAGCATGTTTGTCCCTATAAGCCTGGTGACACCGTTATTAAACCATAGTTTATCGTGTGAACGAGATTTCAGAGTTTTGCCGAGTACAAACCTCGTTATGATGTCCAACAATAAAAAGTTCAGAGCTTTAACAGGACAAGGAGCATTATAAACATTTCGCCAAACATTGCTATCAAAGGCATGGTAGGCCCCATTCCAGTTAATTCTAGACTTCAAGAAAACTTGTTTAGTCAGAGTAAAATCCGGTATAGGAAAGTCCAGCTGGATCTTACATGCTAGACTACAGTGGTCGGAAGAACCTATTGGCGCGATGGAGTCTACATCAACTACCCCTCTCACATCAGTTAGCAAAAGATCCAAAAGATCAACACTCTTGTGAGTTGCACCGCGGACTAACTGCTCACACCCAACCACATCTGCGAAATCTGAGGCAGAAATGCCATGTCGGTCAGTTGGGGACAGAATTCAACCAGTCTCGGTGGTGAGCACTAAAATCACCTCTAAATATATAGCAAGATTTACTCATTCCCTTGAATAGAAATATACGAAGTCAACCAACAATCATGAATGCTGACATCGGAGTTGGGACTTCTATAAAGACTAAAAATG